TATTATTATGATCTCTGCCATGAGCGGATGCTCAGGGGCTTGGTTGACCGTTCCCAAATACAGGGGGTATTCAAAAAATCATCACGAGTATCATCATAAACTGAGTTCTGGCGGTATCACCGTAAGCAAACGTTGTTTTGCTATATATATTATTTCAAGGGAATTTTTGAATCTGAACACATAGAAAAAGAGTTTTCGGAACGCACCCATAAAATGTTCGACAGATGTAGGAACAGTTTGTACGGGAAAATAAATTTGTTGCTATTTGAATTTTCCATGAAATTATTCCATAATTTCTCATAGTTTAAACCTTTCCTGTACTGCCACAAATATTTCAACACCAAAATTAGCCAAATCGGCCCAGCCGTTCTCAAGTTTTAGAAAGACTAACGAACAGCAATAATTTTTTATGTATATATATGATAGATTATGAATACTTTAAAAAATGGAATTATTAAAACGTGTAGAAAAAATTGAAGATTTTTTCGCACCCAGAAAAAAACTATTCGTACATTTTTTCTACATACTTTAATGTTTCAGGTTAAGTACAAAGATTAGGATAAAACTTTTAATTTCGAAATGGAATTTTTATATTATTAGGTTATATATTACGCGTTGATAAATAATACAAAACCTAGTTATTAGGTTTTATTAAGCAGAAAATATATACATACGTAAGAACAATTGTGTCAGTAATAAGGAACATCCAAAAGAATAATTTTAAAAACAATGTTTACATTTATGGCGAATGGCCAGTATTATATCACGCGTAAAAATAATATATAAAATCCTAATAGTCTAATAATTGTTTCCGAAGTACATATTACGTTCACAAATAAGATTTCTTTATGCCTTGAAAGGCAAACTAAATCGAACAAACGTGAACTTATCTGAATCCTTTGATTTACGTTCAAGTATAATCACTACATAGTAGAAAACAAATTTGTCCCGCTGTCTCTCTCTATATATGCTTAGATCTTTAAAACTACGCAACGCATTTTGATCCGATTTTCTTTAATATATAGTGATTCAACAGGAAGGTTTATTATACAGGCTTTTCTAAGTGTATCCATTTTTTTTATTAAATTCTAGAGATAATTAATGCTATATAAAAAATGAGAAATATTTAAAATTACTTGTAATTAATAAAATACATTCATTTGTACTTATCTCAAAAAGTGCGTGATTTATGGGCAACTCATTAATTTACGCGCGATCATTCATAACTAACACGCACCCAAGTTCGTTTCCAAAATATACGACGCATTTATGAACACATTGTCAAGATGTTCTGTTTTTTAGGGAACGGTATAGCAATTTTTTTGAAAAAAGAAAAGTTTGTTTTTATTTCAATAAACGATGATACTACCGATGTTTTTATTTCAATAAACGATTATACTACCGAGTCTGCAACAACTGTGTGAATTTGGGCACCTTTAGAAAAGCCACCTCGTATGTATAATTCATGCATAATATAATAGAGAAACACTGATAATTTTAGAGGTTTCTAATGCGACGTAGACAATAAACATTCAGCAATACACCCGTGCGAAGCAGGGGCGGGTCCCTAGTAGGAGATAAAATGGACTATCTTTATCCGTCGACCGACGACCGTCGCGTAGTCCTTAGGGAAATCATTTTGATACGATGCGCGGTGAGGGGAACGTTCCGCCAGGGAATATTAAATAGAGAATAGAAATCCAAGCGGTCTTCTTAGCCACGAGAATATAAAAGTTTTTAAAAGGTTGGGTGGTGCTTAAATAAATAAAAGCAAATAGGACAATTGAAGTGATTACAAACAGCCAAGACCGTAAAACCGTTCCAGGCTGAGTTACCAGATGCCATGTAGAACTACAATTACTTCTAGTTAACTCTCATGGACATTTGCAGCACCCATAGGGTTGCCGATGCGTTGCCCCCTTACAATAGAGTGGGCTCCTCATTTCCAGACGAAACGCAGAACACTTCCACTTCACTCGGATCTTCTGTGAGGTCGTGGTACTTACCTGTACGGATCTACCCTTACGTGCAACAGCGAGACTGGTTCATGGTCCTATCATAGTAAAATAATAATAATAATAACGAATACGTAAATAATCTTAACATTACTTGCATTAGAATTAGAATGGAAGTAATGGCTATACATATATTCATAAATATGGGTTTCTTTTATTTGAGATGTAAGCTAGCAGGCGGTTCACCTGATTCAACTGATGCCCATTGACATCTACAACTCATTGTGGTGGCATATGCTTTATTAACTTTTAATGGATTGGGCTCCGGTTGCCGCAAGATGAAGCCGACCAGACGAAACGCCATATGAAACAGTTTCTCTCCTAGTCTTCTGTGTTGCCCTGTTACTTTCCCCAACGAGCCTGCCCATTTGTGCAATGTCCGAAGCTGCATTAGATCAGTCAGGCCACCTCACTTCAGATTAGAATACTTTAAACATTTTTGAAACATTTATTTTAAGTGCCAGCATTGTTAGTATGTAGTACATGTCACAGACAAATTATGTGCTTGTAAAATGTTAAAAAAAGCCAAATAAATATGCAGTCTCATGTTACCCTTAAAAACATATTTTGCTTGATGAAAAACATTTGCAAGCAGGTGAATACTTAAAATGTTCTTAATTGCTTTCAGTGAAAATATAATTAACCCATTTTGTCTACATTGCATTACATTGGCTACAACTACTACTACACTCCAAATGTAATTGTTCGCCAAACATTTTAAGCCCATATTTCAAACTTTTGAACATAGTTTCAAAACTTTAAAAAATAATTAGTTTTCACAACCCTAAATATCTTTCATAAATGCGTCCTGGTTTGTTTCAAACATGACTATAATGTTAATTAAATCAAGCAATAAATTAAAAATAAATACATGAATTACAAATACTAATCTTTAAATATTTTAATTCGTTTGAAAGCAAAACTAGCCTAGAAATTGCCCAACACAAACCACGAAGCACATCCACAAAAATAAGGTCTATTTTTGAGGAAGTATCGGTTTCCCAGTTTATAAACAATAGTATTTATAAATGAAGTTTTGATGGCTCCGTGGCACAGTTGCCACATGGGAAAACTATTTCTGTGACCCACAGATACTTTTTTTGCATCTAAGTGTTTGTCCGTGTGAAATTTGTTTGTAAAACATTCTTACAACACAGGATAATGCTATCCAAAAGTAAGGGCAATGTTTTCACTATAAGGAAGTCTAAATTAAGCTTCTGATAAATAATAAGAAAATTATACAAGTGTAAGAATGATTGTGGCAATAATATAGAACATAAAGAATAATTTTAAATATGATATTTACATTCACGCAAATGTACAGCATTACATTATTCATCCTATCTAGAAAAAGTAATATGATTCTTTAAATATTCTGACCACTTTTTAGTTCTAACTGGTCGCTCTATTGTTGTTCATTCTCTACATTTAGTCATTTACTTCTTCTTATATATTTTCACTTGGAAGGTCTATGTAATCATTACTTTCTTCAATTTCTGTAGGATTTTAAACTCAGATGATTCTATAGTGAAGGAATACATTGTCATAGGCAAGGAATAAAAAAAATACGGAGGAAACTTAACTTTTCTCTATTCTCAATATTGATTTATATATAAAATTATTCATGCCTTTTTTTGGGAATAATATTTTAGTAAATTAAAACAGCATCAATGGCTGTACCAATATATTTTATAAACAAAGGTAAATATAATTTTCTTTTGCTGGCTTTATTTAGAGAAAAAAAAAGAAAATTTAAAAGAGACAAAACATACTGTTAGAAGGAGAGGCATGTAATGCGACGCTATGGCGCGAGTTGTATAGGATGTGACAAATTTTGTTTCTTTTTTACTTAATTAGTTCGTTTGAAAAATATTTTTTTTAATTATGGATTTTGTATAATGTTAATATTTTTCATGATTATTGGAAGTACCGTTAGACATGTGTTCATTTAATGTTGCGATGGTAACGACACGCTGTATACTGTTTTTTATATTTTTCAGCCCACACTGATGTAAATTCACAGTCCAGACTTTTTAGTTATAACATATTAAACTGTTGAAAAGTTTCCCTGTTTTCTTCTTTTGAGGCAATAAGCTTGTGACTTGCAAAAATTATATTGTTCGGTTTGACATATGCAAGCTTTAAATTTTTAGTTGCATTTTTGTTACTAACCTAAAGACATATTATATTCATATACTTTTGATGAAATATTGTTTCTCAGAACTTGAAAATTTACTTTTTCATCCTTAACATCATTTTTAGATAAAAAATACCAATGTATCCATTCTTTTGCCACGGTAGTGATGCCAAAAATGAAGATATATATCATAATTTAAATAAATATCAATTTCGGCCTCAATATATCAGAGAAAATAACAATATTTTCATTATCGGCCCCAAAATAAACAGTCATAAAAAAAAACCTTTTGCCAAGTATTAAATATTTGAATGTACATACTCTATCCAGTATTCGAATTTGTAGACAAATATTGTTTTTGATACCATTTCGATATTGAATATTTTATATCAGATCAAAATATATCAGCTAAAAATATCGATATATCGATATCTTTTCGGTATCCCTATGCTGCGGTAGCAGATGTTGAATCTGTTTCAAATTTCTCTGGCCTTAATATCTCCATACTTCATCAGAATTATTTTATTAAATCGTTGATATTGATTCTTCTGCCTAATAAATACAATAATAGGCAGAACAAGGTATAAGAATATAAGAACGATTTTGACAATAATTTAGAGAAGATTAAAAAGTACAATTTTGACAATAATTTAGAGAAGATTAAAAAGTATAATTTTAATTTTAAAATGACATTTACATTCATGCAAATGGCCAGTATTATATCAGCTTCTTATTAATAAAACAAAGTACACATTTTCGTATAGATAAATTTATAAGTTAATATAGGATAAACTAATAATAATATAGGAAGTAATATACTTAATAAGAAAACAGATTAAACTACTTACCAAAAAGTTGTATAGAACTGGACAATGCTAGAAAACAGATCGGACCATTGCAAGTCCTGCACGAAAACACAAAATTCTCGACGACCACGATTTTAATTCTATGATTTTATTAAAAAAGGACTAGACAATGTTAAAGTGAGAAAACAAGTGCTGTTTCGATTCTTTAGGTCTTAGGAAGAAGTTATCGCTGTAATGATCTTTTAATTTAGGATTATCTATAGATCTTAAATTTGATGTTACAGATTAATACAATTATATCGAAAATTTAAACACCAAGACTGATACAATTTACAACAATTGCGAAGGACTAGCCAAGTAGCCGTAGACTAATAAATCGATAATGGATTAGCGATCACAGAACACTAATACCAAAGAGTAGGTAAGTACTTTTAATTTTATAACTAAACTGAAAGCCCATAACCGGTGGCACGCCAGCGCCACGCGTTGTCAAATCGGTGTCAGGCGCCAGCGTCAGCTTGAGAAATAAAATGTTATTAAAGGCATGAGATATACCTGCAACATTCTATATCCGGCCTCTAAGGTACGGGTATCGCCGTATACCCGGTGCTAAAACCCAGTATCAAAATACCTATAGGTATTAGGTTCAGGCCTCCTTTTGGAGACTGGATCGAATCGAACGACCTTTGGAATATTTAGTTGTTTTTTTAGCAATCAGCTTTTTGAAATTGAGATATTCAGTCTAAAATAAGCTATGTCTTTATTAGCGTAAAGAACCTTATTACAAAAAAAAATGTTACGCAATTGTTTATCTACCTAATGGTCATAGAAATAAAGAATATATACAAGATAGTAATATATATAAGAACGAATGTTATGAAATACCGCCACCGTCTGACGAGGCGGCACTAGGTAAGCGTACTCGCGAGCGATATCGACTGATATCTCTTAATAAAATATTTATTTGACGAAAACCCTTTAACTTTACATCCCTTTTAACAATTTTAAATAAATTAGATTGAATATCCTTTCTAACAATACCAGAATCATTTTAAAACTTATTTACCATCATGATGAAAAACTTAGAAGAAATGAGCTACTCCCCGCTAGATAAGATGCGACCTTGCGTGTCTAGTTAGTGAAGATGACAGCCAATAAAGGTCTCGTTCAAACGAAGTTTGAAAATTAAACTACATATTTTTCAGAGTAATGTTTAATGGCTAGTACTTACAAAATTTCACTTGTCATAAGTTATTATTAGATATTTCGAACTTAAAATTAATAACAATAATAATTATAATTCGTAATCTCTTTTTCTCCAGCAGCTCTTTCTTAACAGAAGGCGACAACGCCGAACCTTGCCCCGTGCAATTTGCCTTTCAGCACGGATTTGACTTAACCTATTACTGAAAAAAAAATCATATGTTACGTCTATAAGTTTTTAATGTGGTACGACCACGTAACAGTTTTCACAGTTGTACGAATGGTCAGGTCCTTTCAAGAAGTACCGCGACCTCACAGAAGACCGGCGTGAATTGGCTTTCGAAAAGCAACATATCGAAAGACACCAACTGTGTTAAATAGTTTGGTAATATTTGACATCATGTAGATTTTACCTCATTTTATCTTAAAAAGGGAAACAATATATTAAATTAATATTAATGTTATATAAAAAATCTTTCACTTGCCTTTTATAGGAATAGCTTTTTCAGGTTTCATCTTCGCGTATTATGTAACTGGTGTCGTTCCTATTTCGCAACATTGAACATTGGCTAGTTCGTAATGTTCGTAGGTACACGTACCTGACGATCGTCTCGTGTCCGATAAGTGCGTCGAGTTCATAGTTCATTCGCTGACGGTAGGTACCATCAGAGTCTTTCACTAGCCTGTAGATTTTCCTTAACACTTTTCTCTCAAACACAGCAAGCTTCTGTTCATCCATCTGAGTTTGGTTCACATGCATCATGCATAGGTCATAACAGATCTGATAATGGTTCGGTAGATGGCTACTTTTGATGCTCGTAACTGTCAACTGCATATATCGTGTAAGAAAATATTCTTCTGGGAGACCATAAGAATATTTACTAATGGCCTAGGCTGTTTTGAAGTCACAAGGTTTTCAGTTTTGCTTGCATTTGTAAGCCAAAAGCACATGTAAGTCAAAACGTAAGTTTACATTTTTAAATTATTTTATTATGAAAGTTATTATTAATAAAATAAAATAATTAAATTAATATTAAAAGGTTTTAAGGTAAAGATGGGTGCTGCTGCAAATATAATGTTACCAAAATACTATCCAAGGAAATGTACACGGATATGGTTTTGGAAATAAGATGAAATTGAAATTTAAAAATATGATGTCGAAACAATGTATGCAAGATAAGCAATGCAGGCAAAAGTGGGTTTCGAAATAGTTACATTAGTTATTGAATTATGTTTAACACGTCTACTGCACGCCAGTCCTCCATAGGACTTCCCCAAATGAGTGTGCTAATTCTTGCAACAATAAAGACCAGTACGTGGTCCTGACTCGATATTTTCGAAATGTAGCAGGGAGATCTAAGTCATGCATCCCAGTATAGGAAATCATAACGACAATTTCGTGTTAATCTAAGCACAAACCGTCTGGTCTTTGTCATCTTCAAGACCTGTGCCTTTTAACGCGCACAGCCGCCAACGTTGCTCCGATCGCGAGTCAGCTGGTACCACAAGAGTGACAATAGTCGCGCCACTTAAATCCACGTTAATTATTCTCAACGTACAAAATAACCTTACCCTTAGACTTCAAAAATGTGAACGAAACCAACATGGAGTAACTTTATTGTGTTGAAACAGTGTAGTCCTGCTTTAATTAGAGTCACTCCCTACTACATATTGGAATTCTGCTTAGTTCCAATGGCTGCACCTAAACATAGTTTACTGGAAAATAAAACGAGATGGGTCTATACGGAAGAGAGCCAATCGGTTGTCGTAGATGCCGTCATCTACATACCGCTATCTCTGGGTACATTCCGCCACAAATGGCTTAGACCGCCGACTATCGCCGTCCACAGGATAAATCAATTACGGAAACACACAAAAACATCGCCGGCGAGTGAGGCAAACACCTTCTAGGTTCCGCCACTTACCTAGCAGGTTTTCCCCTGTTAATGATAAAAGCGTTTTTTTCCGCCACTTCTCCCAGTGCCAACGCTTTCCGAAGTGGTAGTAATGATAGCTTTAGAAATTCTTCTAGTCAGAGTACAGCTACCGATGGAGCCGTGGTCCGGCGCTTGGACACCCTTGAATCGGAATGCTAAACGGGTACTGAATAATAGCTCAAGGCGACGTCTCCTCTCGCGGGTCCTAGAGCCTAATTACTCCATGGAGCGTCCACCAAAGCGACTTAAGAGCTTGGCAGCCTTCCAAACTAGTGAAAATAATAATAGCATGAAGGCCCGAGCGGAGGCTCTAAGATTTCACTTATATTCTATCTCTCTATAGTATCTGAGGACAAATTATGTATTTGCATTTTTTTTAATACCCTAATTATTAATCTTTTTTTTTTTTCATAGATATGATGGGGACAGATCTTTGAGACAACTCTTAACAGTTTTAAACAAACATTTGGCACGTTTTTTGTATTATCTTTTCATCAGCCATGACTAAGACAAGTCATTGTTATTAATCAGTTTATAGTTTAACAAAATGCCTTCAATATGGAATTAATAAAAAAAAGGTTTTTTTTCTATACATCTTTATAAAGGTTTTGTTGCAATAGGTACATAAAATGATTACAGTAAACTTGTCGAGAAAGATATAGATTTACGTTGTTTTAAATGTCATTTTGTTCTTTCACTGCAAATTCATATACACGATTGGATGCCTTTTCAATTCTCATGTTTTTTATTAGGAGAACTAAAATACTACTTAGACTTCAATTAAGCCTAATAGCACACGGATCTCTATAGGTACTATCTAAATTATTTTCTTTTAGCTTAAAGAGGATAAGGAATTTCCTTCCAAATAGGTATGTAGACTTTTTTATTTTTGTACCCCTGTGCCAATTGTCATGTTGGTCAATCGATTTGTAATACAGACGTCCTTTTTAATATTATTTTAAACTAGACCTCAAGTACGATCAAGCAAATCTGACGAGATATTGACGAATGCAGTGGTGAAATGAAACTCATGGTTTATAGGTCTATGGTTATATATTGCGCGCATTCAGTACACATTGCGGCGATTCTTTGGTTTATTACAATGTCAGTAAACAACTAAATGGGATTACAATATGTTTATTTCTAAAACGCCGAAGTTTACTTAGAAACTGCCGTCGCTTATCCCGCATATTCCATTACGAAATATGCGAGTAAAGGATTAAACGCTACGGATGCTGTATCAGCAAACTTACAAACTACGGTTAATATGTTGAGAAAAAATTGAAATTGTCATTTCATGTAAGTCATGTTACAACACAACAAAAGAACTACACGTTAAATGCTTCAAAGTTACCAGCTACTTATAACCTGCTTCTCCAAACGAACGATGCGTTCGCAACGGCTTACTTAAATCTAAATGAATAACATGAATATATCCTACTAGCTCCAAGTACATTTTATGAAAAGCAGCTTAGAAAATCAACAGTCGACAATGTTTCACAGTGCGAGAAGCGGGAATTATTTCGCGTGGCTAAATATGAATTAGGCAAAACGTACAGACAGATAGGCCTAGAGACGTAACAAAATATGTATCAAATGAATATGCGTAGTCCACAGAGCACACTTGAAGTACACACAATAATATGCCGTTATTGCATTAACAGCTTCAAAGGCAGGTTTTGGAGTCCGTCAGCCACCGTACTGTTGGTATGAGGGTGGTCCCAGGGCGGTGGTTGGGTGGAGGACCAAAATGTACCTAAAGCGTCCGTCCCGTTGGATGGACTTCGGATGCCGGTAGTGGACGGCCGCCTAGATGCCGGGGAAGTGGATGTTGTAGTAGATCATTCTCAGCTGCACCAGTTCCACGGCGAAGTAGAACAGGTGCAGGTAGTATGCAAGGCCGGTGGCGCGTTCCGTCTCATGGGTCCACGAGCGAGACGATTATATAGCGCGTGTATTAACTTAAGGGCATTCGCAACAAGACCTTTAGCCAAAGCAACACAGCGTAATATACATCACACAGCTTATACTTTATACTTAAATACAGATACATCAATTTTTTTTTGCTATGTAGCTTTCTACACGATTTTATCAACCATTGACATCCTATATGAAGACTGGAGATGTCTTTGAGAAAACAAAGATTAATTAAACATGATTACATTACATGTTTTCATATATCATTATTGAAAACAAAGATAATTTTACATAATTTTAAATGAGATGTGAAAATAGACAATTCCGTTAAAATTGAATTAATAATATCTACAATTTGCGACAGCAGTGAAGACAATGACAACTCTAGTTGTAATTCGAATAAGTCAACGTTAATGCTGTTAAAGAACGTGTGTTATTCTGTTTCCTTAATTTATTAGAGAAGATAACAATGAGACAGAGATTAGACTGAGGATTTATTTGATTTGATTTTCAATGGAACTCAATTAAAAAGTACTTATAGGTACTGTAATAACTATAAGTATTTTTTCACAATAACTGCATTTAATTCTTAGATGTCTGTAGTCCGTATAGACTCATTTAATTTAATCAATGTGGTAAAACTTTACAACATTGTGACGTTTTTCAAGCTTGAAAAAAAAATTTTAACCGTTAGAGAAATGTTAATAATGATAGACATATAAGTTAAAATCCATGAAAATCAACAGATTACGAGAAAAAAATTGATAAAATTTTAAACGTTTTCGTGGGGTTTTACTTGGACATGGTTTGGTACTTTGGAACCCCAGTCAACCAGGACCGTTGATTTGTCTTCTTAAAGTGTTAGTCTTTATAATTGCTCTTTCTTAATATATAATTGCTTCTTGTATGTAGAAAGCCGTGGGACAAACGCACTTACGGGTTCGTTCTCTTTCATGCCTTCAGGTCTAATACTGTTTCGTTTTAAGAAACACGTTAATTGTGTCCTGTCTTTAATATACTGTCTGTAATCAGCTATTTTTGAAACAAAATCGAAACAGATTATTTCCAGATTGTGTCCTTACATGTAAAATGGTAAAGTTCTTGTGGATGTAAAGTTGGGATTCTGCTTTTTGCATTTTTATGGAAATCGATTGTTTTATAATGACTTTTAGTCAACATTGTTGCTATGTCTTCAGGGACAGAATTAAATAGTTGTACAACAAGCTTATCATACGTCCTTCCTTTGACTGTCATTTTAACTCTTTCCCCACCAATAAAAAATTTCATTGCATCAATGTTCTCTTGACTCCACCGTCGATCAAAAGCCTCGCAATCTGCTATTCGACAAAAAGTTGCCAATGAAGGAATATTGTGTTCATATTTCGGTAGATAAATTTCTCTTAGAGAAATGGATATCTCTAGGCAACCAAAATCAGAGGCGTATATGTCACAAGTAACATTTCCATCATTTTCATGTATTAATAATATCTTACCTCTGCAATAACAGTTCACTGATTCAGATTTGTAAATGATGTTCATCAGTGAGTGCAGTTCTGATTTCAAAACTTTTCTACCCCGGGCCTGAATTGTCGACATGTACATTCTGTATAAAATAGGACGTACAAAAAAACTATGTGGATCATTTATATGAGTCACATCCACCCATATTGATGTCCCTTTTTCAAATTTATTATAAATCCAAAATTTCTCTTGTAACTCGGTTATTAATTCCATATTAATATCATAAAATTAATTAACTTCAAGAAGCATCTGGTTATTTACTTATGGTGAATAAAAAAGAACGGTTTCGAATTCACTTTTGCATTATAGCCTATCGTTAAAAAATGTAAATGTTTCTCATTACTTACTTGTTTATAATTATATAGTTGATGTAAGGTAAAGAAATTAA